CACGCGCCACCATGCCCAGCTGATTTTTTGTATTTTTAGTAGAGACGGGGTTTCACCATGTTGACCAGGATGGTCTCGATCTCTTGACCTCGTGATCCACCCGCCTCGGCCTCCCAAAGTACTGGGATTACAGGCGTGAGCCACCCCGCCCGGCCAGATGTGCCCCTTTTTAAACGAGCCCCAGTTGGACGATTTCAAATGCCAGCAGCTCCGCTCAGTAGCTACAGGCTCATTGGCAAGTCACTTAGGCTCACTGGATCTCACTGTCCTCATATGTAAAAACGAGACAATAAAACTTGTCTTTAAAAAGTGTAGCAGAATGTTTTGATACAATGGACTTTGGGGACTCGGGGAAAGCCGGGGGTGGGGTGGGGGGGGACTCGGAGGGCGGGGGATAAAAGACTAGACATTGGGTACGGTGTGCACCGCCCTGGTGACTGGTGCACCAAAGTCTCAGAAATCACCACTCAATAACCTATTCGTTTAACCAGACACCTCCTGTTCCGCCAAAAACCTATTGAAATAAAAGAGTTAAAAATTATAGCAGAATTTTTATTTTTAGCTAATGCATGTAAATTGCTATCAGTATTTGTATCAGTTATTCACTTACACTGAACAACTTTTTATATCAAGTGCTCAGCCTCTGAATGATACAGTGAGATAACCTCATTTTACAGGTAATGAAGTTTTTTAAAGTAACATATTTACAAGAGAGCTGAGTGAATTATTTTTCCTAAATTAATAGATGGCACATGAACGGAAAGTTTACACCTCAACCCTACAATTCCAAATGTCAATTTGCACTTTGTCAGATTGTTTTTCCTTGTATATTGCTTCTCCCTTCTCAATCATTTCACCTCTTCTCTTCCCCCTTGTCTCAGCTCTTTTTACAGTGTTCTGGAGCTCTAGACCTGTGATGATCCGTCAGGTGACATGGTTAGGGACATTGATTTTAAGAAAACCTTTGGCAAGCAAGGAGGTGTAGCTTCTGACCCAGGTAAGCCTGCAGCTGTGGTCTCATTAGAGCTTACCTGCTCTCTGTGTCTGTCATTGCTTCTGGCTGGGAATGTTCAGGCTGTGGCCCCAGCTCAGTCCCCTTGCATGTATGTCAACTTCCAGTCACATCTTTACACATGTGGTGGTGGGAGGTGCTGTGCAATCTAACCAAGTCTAACATCTCCTAGCAGAAAGTGGTGTTTAAGGCACAGTGGGAAGATCCACTGTGCTGTACCTTTATGTAATCAAGGGCAAAGTCGCGAAATGATTTTTATTTATCCGTCACATGACATACTTGGAAGGACAGTAAACACTTGACATAGCATACTTTCTTATTTTGCACTCTATTTTGAAAATCTAACTTTTCAGAAAGTTCACACAAACTTGAAAGAGCATAATTAATGAATTTGCTACGACAGTTAAGGTTGCCTTCTTGGTGCCATAGGTAGCACATCAGTCTCAGAATCTGAAGGTCCTGAGCTTGAACCTCTGAGAAGGCACAGTGATTTTGTAATTTCCATGTACTTCTGCTTGAGAAAGAAAAATCCCACCCATTAAGCTTTCTAGTATGAAATCTGGATTCCTGGGTGACTGACAGACAACGTGACTGAAAAATGAGGCTGTAGTCCTTCAGGAACCCTACCAACTTCCTTTGTCAGCTGGATGCTATTTTAATGCACTGACTACAGTATATCATACAATACCACAATCTGTACCAAATGTCATAAATCTGTATGAGTTGCCTTTTGCTGCTTCTGAAAATTAACATGAATTTGGTGGCTTAAAATAACATAAATGCATTATCTTAAATTTCTGGGGGTCAGAAGTTTAAAATGGGTCTTAGGGAGCTATAACTAAAGTGTGGCAGAACTGCTTTCCTTCTGGAGGTTCTAGGGAAGAACCCATTCATTGCCACATTGCTTGGCTCGTGGCTGCATCACTGATCTCTGCTTCTGTTGTTACATCTTCTCTAACTCTGGGGAATCCCATGCAGCCTAGTTGATGCGTCTGTTTGGTTATGGGGACTACAAACTCAATGTCTCCCGAGTGGCTCAGTTTGAGGAAACTGATTGTAATCCCAGTGTTGCAGCTTTATTTTTGCCTTCATCCAGTGACAGAACCGACAGGACAGGGATCGAGGTAAACCCATGCCATTCTTGGTTTGCATTGATAGGAACAAGAGAAGACCCCTCTAGACAACCGTCCATGAAGTCATAACTGTCTTGTGTGTGAAGGCAATAGACAGGTGGAAATAGGATCTCACTCCCCTACAAGGTGTGGACAATGAGGTCTTGTCTCAATGACCCTGGAGGCTTTTATGAGACAAGACTCTGCTCAAAGGCAGGTCCTCCTACCTTGTCAGAATGGACCAAAGGGCATGAGCACCTGCCTGCCATGGATCACGGTGTCACTCCTGAAGCCCTCCAATGCTACTGGCTTACCTCTACCCTTGTGAAGACTCAGGATTCTTGCCTTTTAAACCCCGGTGTCCAAAAACTCCATAAACATCTGAACCCCAAGCCCTTTCTTCCCTTCTACCCTTGCAGGTATGTAGGGTCACTCGACCATAATAAAAGCCAGGAGACCATGGCCCCACCCCTAGCTGTTCTTTCTGGAGGGAGTAAAGTCAGGACACAAGTGAGAAGCATGGTCCTCCATCCCAAGGGTGGCCACATTTTGACTGAGAGTGTATGAGGACCCTCTGCCCCGTGGGCTGACCTCTGTGAGGAACTGATGGCTCAGCAGGCCACTCCAATGGCAACTCTCTGCTACTTATTTATAGACTCATGGGCTGTTATAAACAGGCTAGCTGTTTATCCAGTGACTGGTGGATGGATAATTGGACCATTCAGGGTACCCTGTGTGGAGACTAGGACTGTGGCAGCATCTCTCAAACTGGGAAGGAGACTTTCGGTCATTCATGTTGACACCCATGGCCAAGGACCATTTGCAGGGAAACATGAATGGAACTCATGAGCTGAACTAGCATGCACTCAACAAACCGCCAGGATTGTACTTTGGGTCCACCAGAGAACAGAGCATGAAAGTCCACCGCAGATGCAAGAATGGGCCAACTTACAAGGACTTGCACTTGAAGAAATGGAAGCCAAGAATGCAGCAGGGTCATGTGACTCCTGTCAGCACAGCCATGCTATGTGGGGAGCTCAGTTAAGTTAACCAGGGCATAGGCATCCCGTGAATGTGGCAAATTGATCACATTGGACCACTAGTTCCTGGCCACAGATTCCACTGGTGCCTCGCCACTATTAACACATATTCAGCCTATGACCCAGCAGTTCACGTAGATGCACGTTCCGTCATTGCAGCCTTGGAGAAACACCTCTGCCTTGTGTTCAGATACCCATTCAGACTGTAATCTGACCAAAGCACCTTCTTCACAGTCCAGATAATACAGCAATGGGCGTGTTCTTGTGGTGTACAATGAACTTGATTTGATTTGCCCTATCACCTCAGGGACCCAGAGTGGGAGGGGTAGTATTAGGGCACTGGAATGAATAGCTCAAGCAACAACTATAAAAAGACCATCAGGAACGACAAACTCAACGGAAGGTAGTACTCTTGCTTAATGAAAGTATCAGGACCTTAAATAGTGCCCTCCGGTGAAAGGGAAACATGGCATTGCAATGCGTGCGGGGCACCGTTGGCTTTGGAAGTGTGGTTGCCTGATGTGGCTACGCCTGAGGAATCCCAATCTCAGTATATCCAACCACAGTGTTTGAAGGTCGAGGCTGCAGGGAGCCATGTCTGAGCCACTGCATTCCAGCCTGGGTGACAGAGTGAGACCCTGTCTTAAAAAAACAAACACGCAACAACAACAAACAAACGAAAAACCAAAAAAATCTGTGCCGTGGGTTGACATCCTGGACCACTGCTCCTGGTGTTAGGCTGTGTTATGCTCTTTGTCATCCTCCACCCAGTGGCAACGGTGTTTCTCTCACTTGTCTTCTTTCATTCCTCTGAGTTATCTTTTGTAATTTTTCAGTATGTGGGCCTCGCACTTATTTTTAAACTTACCTTTAAGTATTTCATAGTTTTGAAACTCTTGTAAATAGTATCTTTTTGTTTTAAAAATTCAATTTAATCCCAGAAATGTCCCGCTTGGTCATGATATGTTATCATTTCATAAATGGTTGAATTTGTTTAAAATATTTTCCAATTTCTCTGTGATTTCTTCTTTGACTTGTGGGTTATTAGAACTCTGTGGTTTAATCTCCAGATCTGTGTGGCTTTCTCAGATATCTCCAGCTGATGTTCAGGTTATTTTTGCTGTGTACAAGAAAAACTCTGTGATTTTAATCCTTTCAGTGATTATATATCTGTACATACACACACACACATTGAAAGAATATATATATATGTGTCCTCTATGTTATCATATGTATGTATGTATATAGATATGTATATTAGAGACATTTTGTAATTTTTCAATGTGCAGGTCTTGCACATATTTTAAAACTTATCTTTAAGTATTGCATAGTTTTGAAGCACTTTGTAAATGGTATCTTTTTGTTTTAAAAATTCAATTTAATCCCAGAAATGTCCTGCTTGGTCATGATGTGTTATCCTTTTATAAATGGTTGAATTTGATTTGCTGAATTTTTAAGGATTCTTTCCTTCTTATAAGAAACGCTGGTTTGCAGTTTCATTCCTTGTATGGCTTTTTCTGGTTTTGGTATTAGGGTAATGCTGTCCTTATTAAGTGAGTTCAGATGTGTGGCCTCCTCTTTTGCTTTGTGAAAAAATTTGTGTAAAATTGATATTATTTATTGCTTAAATAGTTGGTAGAATTTACTATGAAGCCATCTGGGCCAGATTTCGTTTCTTTGTAAGAACATTATAAAGCATGGATTTAATTTAATAGATGCAGGGCTATTTAGGTTATCTATTTCTTCTTGAATACACTTTTTGTGTCTTTCAAGGAGTTTTTCCATTTCTTCTATGTTGTCAAAGTTATTGGCAAAATACATTCATTACATTTCCTTGTGTCTTTTTATTATTTGTTGGAGCTCTAGTGATATCCACTCTTTCACTTTTTTTTTTTTTCTCTTTTCTTAAAAAAATTTTTTTAAAAAAATATAGAAATGGGATCTTGCTATGTCACCCAGGCTGGTCTTGAATTCCTGATCTCAAACGATTAGCTTCCCAAAATCTTCAGATTACAGGCGTGACCCACCATGCTCAGCCTACTCTTTCATTTGTGGTATTTGTGTTTCCTCTCCTTTTTTTTCCTGAAGAGAAATTTATCAATTTTGTTAATCTTTCCAAAGAACCAGCTTTTGGTGTTGTTTTTCCTTATTGTTTTTCAGCTTTCTATTTCATTGGCATTTACTCTTTATTGTTTTCTGTCTGGTTTGGATTTAATTTGCTCATCTTTTTTACTAAGTTTCTAAGATAAAAGATGAGATAATTGATTAGAGACATTTCTTCCTTTCTAATATAAATGTTTGATGCTAAAATTATCTCACTAATCATAGTTTTTGCTGCATCCTACACATTTTGATAGGTTGCATTTTCAGTTTCATTCAGTTTATTTTCTAATTTCTCTGTGATTTCTTCTTTGACTTGTGGGTTATTAGAACTCTGTGGTTTAATTTCCAGATGTATGTGGCTTTCTCAGATATCTCCAACTGATTTTCCGGTTATTTTTGCTGTGTAAAAGAAAAAACTCTGTGATTTTAATCCTTTCAATGATATATCTATATAAACACACATTAAAAGAATATATATATATGTGTGTGTCTTCTATGTTATCGTATGTGTGTGTGTATATATATATGAGACATTTCTTCCTTTCTAATATAAATGTTTAATGCTAAAATTATTCCACTAATCATGATTTTTGCTGCATCCCACAAATTTGGATAGGTTGCATTTTCAGTTCTTTCGGCTTAAAGTATTTTCTGATTTCTCTGTGGTTTCTTCTTTGACTTGTGGGTCTTTGGAACTCTGTGGTTGAATCTCCAGATAGAGCACTGTCCACACGCTGTCTCGATTGTTATAGCTTTGTAGTGAGTCTTGAAACTGGGATAGTGTCAGTATTTCAGTTTTGTTCTTCTTTAGTATTGTGTAGTTATTCTGCATCTTTTGCCTTTCCGTATACACTTTAGTGTCTATTTGTCAGTATCCACAACTAACTGGCTGAGAGGTTGATTGGAATTATACTGCATCTATTGATCAAATTGGGAAAAACTGACATCTTGATAATATTGAGTCCTCCTAACCATGCAAAGGGAATATCTCTCTATCAGTATATTTTGTTTGATTTCATTCACTTTATATCAGGAGTTTTATAGATTATCACATGCAGGTATGGCATATACTTTGTTAGATTTATATCTAAGTATTTCTTTTCTGGTGCTAACATAAATGATATTGCGTTTTAAATTTCATATTCCAATTGTATGTTGCTGGCATATAAGAAAACAATGGACTTTTGTATATTAACCTTGTATCTTGCAGCCTTGCTATAGTCTTATATTAGTTTCAGGAGTTTTCTACATAGATAATCATGTTATCTGTGAATAAAGATAGTTTTTTTCTTCCTTCCCAATCTACATATCTTTGATATCGTTTTCTTGTCTTATTGCATTAGCTAAAACTTCTAGCACAATGTTGAATAGGAATGGTGAGAGTGAAGACTCTCGCCTTGTTCCTAATCTTACTTAGCAGGAAAGCAACTGGTTTCTCACCATTAAGTATGACGTGGGCTGTGGCCAACTTGATACGATTCTTTGTAGATGTGCTTTATCAAGTTGAGGAAGTGCCACTCTATTTATAGTTTGGTAGAGTTTTTATTATGAATTGGTGTTGAATTTCGTCAAATGCTTTTTCTGCACCTGTTAATATATGATTTTTCTTCTTTAGCCTTTTGATGTAATAAATTGTCTTAACAGATTTTTGAAGGTTGAACCAGTCTTGCATACCTGGAATGAATCCCAATTGGTTCCGGGTGTATCATTCTTTTTATGTCTTATTGGATTAGATTTGCTAATATTTTGTGGAGAAGTTTTATGTCTATATTGCTGAGAGATATTGGTCAGTAGTTTTCCTTTCTTGTAATACCTTTGTCTGGTTTTGGTATTAGGGTGATGCTGGCCTCATAGAAAGAGTTACGAAGTATTTTTTCTGCTTTTATTTTCTGAAAGATATTTTGGAATACTGGTATAATTTGTTTCTTTAATGTTCGGTATATTTCACCAATGAAAGCTGAGCCTCTTTCTTCTATTGCTTCAGTGTCAGTAGATATAAACCTACCAGGGTTATTTATTTCTTCTCATGTTAGTTTTGGTAGACTATATCTTTCAAAGAATTGGTCTGTTTCAACTAGGCTATCAACTTTGTGGGCAAAGAGTTGTTCATAAAATTCTTTTTTGTTTTTGTTTTTTTTTTGAGACGGAGTTTCGCTCTTGTTACCCAGGCTGGAGTGCAATGGCGCGATCTCGGCTCACCGCAACCTCCGCCT